TACAAAAATTTCCCGATACAATTATTCGGTTGTCTCATAAATTCACGTCGATTTTGTTTTATCCATATTCATTGTGACAATACTTCAAACACACCTTTAACCCCTTAAACGGTTATGTCATATTCGGTACTTTAGTTCTTTTTTCTCCCGCGAGGAATCGGATTGGATGGAGCTACGGGTATCCTCACTAACAAACTCGGCTTTCGCTAAGGCTAAGGGAAAAAGTGGCGTAGGGAAATAGTCTTCTACCATTTGAATTCGGAAGTTTCTGAAATTTGTGCCAAATTAATATGCATTTTAATGTTTATTTCAGTACTTGAAATACATTTACCAAGTGGTAGGAGGCCCTTCACCTTATCCATACACTGCTTTTTCCTCTAGTTGAAGCCGAGTTTGCTCGTGGGTGTATAAACGTTCGCACAAAATACGACTTCTTGCATGTGTCACCGTACCAAGAAAATCTATATAAAATGCGTCGTCACGATTCCCGTGCATACTTACGGGCGGTCAAATCGAAAATTCATAATCAGGATCTTAACAAGAAAAGTTGTATAAAAAGCGACTGAAAAGTTAGACAAGTTCCCGCCGTCTCGTTTGTAATCCGAACTCTCCTCACTACTCAACCCTTCCTCATCGCGCGCCGTTCTCGAAACCCACTCATAATTACCAAAGTTAATTTGCGAATCGCAATTTAATTGGCCGGTTCTTGAAGGCTCCTTAAACTTCGTCTTTTGCGGAAGGGCGATTCCCTACGAAGGTTGCTCGGCTCGGTTCACAAGTGAGTGCGAGAGGTGGGGTTAGGAGGAAGAGGAGAAGGAAGTAAGGCGAGCATCGAATCGAAAATTTCGATCGTATCGGAGCGCGGCAGCTCGAACGAACGCTCGAAGGGATTCGTAAGTGGTGGCGTCGCAGAAAAATCATCGGGAACGGGGTATGTATGTATTATATATAAATTCCCTGGTACGAGAGCGTCATAACGATGGGGCTTTAGATTCGAGAGTGAATTCAAGGGGACTTTGGCGTGGATTTTCTTTACCTCGAAGAGAGAGAAAGAGAGTGGAAAAAAAAGAAGAAGAAAGAACGAAGCACATTACCCAAGCTACACGTAACACAAATATCGATGTCTCCTCGGTCCCCCGTCCGCGTGTTCCCTTTTATCTCAGTTCGCGAGGAGGGGCAACAACGTTTGAAAGAAGACACCCCAACTCATTACCAAAGAAGCACGAACGGATGTTCATAGATACGTACACGCGAGAGACAGGGTTAAAGACAGGACAAAAGGAGAGAGAGACACGTCAGTTTCCTGAGATTTTACCGCAAGCAGCAGCACCGACTCTCTCACGGTGAAACGAAAGAAAGAAGATTCCGCGTGACGGCAGGTCTTCTAATTAGGCGGCCTGTGATCTGCCCAGGCATTTTTCCTTTCCCTTTACGCCCTTTTCTCCATCTCCTCCTTTGCCCTTTCGCGATTTCTGACTAGACCCTCACGCACGACTCGCCGTCGACGTTCCGATCAACAGCGTCTCCGGACGGACAACATTGAGAGAGATTTGGTTTCATGCCATATCCTAACCTCCTTTGTGTCGTTTCACTTCTTATGCGTGGGCACAGGAATAACCTTGGTGACAGAATCGATTCCTTTTTTTCGTCTAGTTCACGGTGAAACCACGTCTATTTACTAGTGATCACAGGGAGAAAAAAATGAATCCTCTGGAAAAATACCGTCGATCCTGTAATCGTTCCCTGCCCCTGGTACGACTACTGATTAAAATCGAATTACATATACGCATTTCGTTGCCACGAAAGGAACATGTCCTATCTCTTCGTGGCGAGAGGGGTCGTCGAATCAGTTATCTGTCACTCGTATCTACGAGAAATGCTACGAAAGATAGTATTGCGGTTAGGTACATACCATAAGGTAGATACCAGGAACGTTTGTGAACATCTATTATTTGTCGAGTGTAACAACTGTTACGTACACTCTCGAGCAAACTCGGCATCCACTAGGGGAAAAAGTGGCGTAGAAGAAAAGCCTCTTACCAGTTAATAAATTTATTTCAAGTACGGAAATAAATGTTAAAATGCATGTTAATTTGCCATAAATTTCAGAAACTTCCGAAACCGAATGATAGAAGGCCCTATCCCTACATCACTTTTTTCCCTAGCGGAAGCAGAGTTTGCACGTCAGTGTACAAATCAGAACAGATAGTAACGAATTCTGTCTACAAATCCATAGCCATCTATTTCCGCATTTGGATTTTTCATGCATAGCCTACCTGACAGAATGGTGAAGCAGATTGGCAGCAGATTCTGCATCAAATCTATAACCATTCTAGTTACAGAAGCTGATAACATTTTAATTTTGAAAAACAGTATTTTTTTTACATTTTATTTTCATCGTCTGTGACCGCGTCGGTCACCAATAAGGCAGTTAAGGTGTTAAAACTGTGAAAATGATTTGTTAATTGTTGAGTATGGGCGCGATACGATCCGAACGTAATTAATTCTCAACGCTGAACACGCACGTTCGCGTCTCTGCTATTGAGGCTGACGATCGCCAGACGCCACGCGTCGAATACAATTGAATAAAAAAAAAAAAACCAACGGAGTAGAAGTGCATTGCCACCCGACTGCAAAGTGCACGGTGCGAATTTTAACGACTGTCATATATATTACTCTAATAGAAGTTTAATAAGTTTGACTGGTGAGACAGCTCGCTGGACAACGGAAGCAATTACAGTAATATCCCTTCACAAGTCTGCTTATTCGCTAATCCACGTACAAAGGGGAGGCTGAGATGGTTATTGAAGATGGCCACGGATAATCGAAGACAGTTACAGGGGACAGAGGAGATTGAAGAAGATTGCCGAAAATGATCAAGATGGCTTCGTTCGGCTTCCAGACTCTGTGGAAGATTTCTGTTTTGCGCGAGACATTTTTAGCACTGGAACAATCAAATCCGTTCAAAATGACTGATTTCAAATTTCTTATTTTAGAAGTACTGAAATCATAAATGCGCTTTTTTTGACTTTTAATTTACTATACATTTCACGTTACTATATTCAATCAAATTTATACAAGTACTATATTCTAGTACATTGTATTATACAAGGTGTTCAAAAAAAGGGTCTAACACTTTAGATGTTTAATAAAATTTTCGATTGTTCTAAAACTTAAACAACTACTGACAGTGTTAATTAAGTACTTTTTGGTACGTTTTATGGTATTTCTCGTATATTAAAGAGCAAATAAACTGAAATGAAGTGGACAGAGCCTGAAGAGTTGGATGAATCCATTGCCACAGATTCTAGCAGTCTACAGTAAATCCTCGATGAGTGTTCGAAAACTCCGCGGCACTAAAATGTTTTATTCTCTGCACTAAACACAGAAAGATATGGAATACATAAATATATCGCTGTTTTGCAGTGATAGTGGCACAACTGAAAAAATGTTAATTTTAGAGGAGAGGCTTTTTAAAATTTATATTTGTGAAAATAAGACTAGGCTGATAGCGACACAACTGCCCTCTGACAGAAGACTGATGGAATTATAAATGTGCCGTTTCAGATGATAAAAGTTAGAAACATACTGTAGACTTTGTATTCAATAAAAACAAATTTGAATTTTATTTTACTATTCCACTATCAATGCTAAAACGGTCAATTTTCTTAATTTCGGTTTAAATAAACAAAGTTTAGTGTCAGAACAGTAATTGTTCTATTATCTAAAAATTCCTTTATTCAAACATTTACGTCTCTCAACAATAGACTTAAGGGAGGAAAGAAATTCCTATTCTTGCCATCATGATATAGTTTATTAAATGTCATTTTCCATAAAAATCCGAAATCTAGTGCTGATGGTTTTTTAGTCAATAATTAATCGAGGGTGTCACGAATTAATTTGTACACCTACATAATACAAATACGTTGCCACATGGCTACAGTGGGCACGAAAGGGTTAATTGTCACGACGCATCGTATCCACGAGTAAGAAACAATAACAAAAAAAAAGAATAAAATCCAATACACACGTCTAAAGTGCTTGTCATTTAAACGGTTCCAGCACACACAATACGAAGAACGTGTCCTGCTTCTATTGGAGTCGCGAGCGGATTGGATCCCTCCGAGCTAGAAAGGGAATCGGGTCTCCAACAATCGGGAATTCAAAACGTGCAAACGAGCGTGTACAACGCACTTCGCGGAGAGAGAGAAATACGGTGATGCAATGCCGGCGCGTTTACACGCGTACGAACCGCCAGCTCTGCGGACGTACTCAATGGGCGTCGGGAGAGGAGAATAAATTAACGAGGTGTTTGTCCGCTATCGCCCATCCTCCCCTCCATTCCATCATGTTTTCCCCCGTGTCGGATTAAAATCATTCTGTCTTTAATAATTACACCGGCCGAATGCGCTAAATGAGGCGCGCGTCGCGACGCCTGTCCCTTTTTGATAATGTTATTTACTGTTCCCGCGTTTACAATGAGCCCCACCGAACCGCGCAAATACGCGCAAATTACTACCCTGACATTGTGCCCGATTCAGAATGGACGGAGCGAGGTGGGGGAGTAAGCATAATGCGCGAGTTTTCCAGCAAAACCTTGTGTCCCGGCTGAAAGCGAAGAGCCGCTTCATTGTGGGGGGATCAGCTTATGAAAGATGCGTATAGGTGTCTACGGACAAATAAAAAAAAAATGAAAAAACCAGCAGAATGAATCGACTGCCTGGACTTCGCCCTTACGTGTCTGACTCTGCTTATTATTATTACAACGTCGCGGTGTCTTGTTCTTTCTTTCTAAACCCACGGTTTTTGTCCGCTGTCCACTCGTCACACCTTCGTACGTCGACCTTTCCGTTAATTAAGGCGTGAAGACTAGCGAGAAAGATTTTCAAAGATACATTATGGTATTGGTGACTTTTAATTTGTTCATATACATTTAAAGGATAATCACCATTACTATACGTATAAACAATAACGAAGAAAAACAAAATACGGAACAGTTTCTGGTGGACAATTCATAGATTCATGGCACTTTCGAACAGGTCCAGCATCCTCTTCATTTCTTTACTGAAAAATTAGAGATGCAGAATAATGAATATATACAACGGGCAAAAGATGAAGTAAATCCCCGATGAGTGTTCGAGGGATCCTCAAGAGGTCCCCAGGTACAACGCTGACTTTTTAATGAGGCTTAGCACAATGATAGATTTTGGAATTATTCAGCCAATAGTATTTGTTTCAGCCCTATATGGCCATTAGTTTATGAAATATTTAATGTTGAACACTCATCGACGATTTACTGTACTAGACGGAATTTTTTTTATACTCGCATTTGATCAGCCAGCTTGTACACTGGTCCCATCGATTTCGATAACTCCTCGCATTTAGCCATTAATTGATACATCGACTTAATGTTGTGATCCACTGCGTCGCACGTTTTACATACCGCGTCCCTGTACGTCTCCAAACATCCGACTGTCAACGCGGACGCCTGAAAGTCCTTCAGTTAATTTTGGGGCTAGAACGAGCATCACGATTAACGATATCACTGCCGGGAGTAAATTTGTTTTTATGTTTCTGTATGTATTTGCGCCGAATTATCACTACCCGCGTCTTCCACGGGCGTAACAAAATGTGTCTATCTAATTTTATATCAATGTTTCGCTATCAATTCTGTTGATGAAAATTTTTAGTAAATATAAAGTAAAACGTAATAAAAATTTTTTCTTGCATTCACGATTTATACAATTGTTACGCATACGGCACGCGTTCGAAATGCCAGGCATCGCGTAAACTGGGTCTTTCTCTTAAGCTGTGTCTACACTATGTAACAAAGTTATAATACTTGTTAGAATAACAGGAAGATGAATGTTATTTAACATTTTCTGTGTCATATAATAAGTTATATGTTGTCCATTATATGTGACACCATTATTAATAATGAGATGCGAAATGTTATACATACTTGTTATAGACTTGTTCAAAATGTATAATCTAGTAACAAGTTATAAAAACATATTGTATTAAACCAAGGTTAAACAACAATTTGGTATATAATACTGTTTTGCCACATAGTGTAGACGCAGCTTTACTCTTAATCCGTTCCGTTTTCACGCGGAGCGAAAGAATAAAATTCTGAAATTCACACATTGTTGTTAGCTCGTGTCTAGACCCGCCCCAAGTAACATAAATTTAGTCTTCAAGCGTTATTTTTAAAGTACACCGATAAATCTCACGAGAGATAACATTCCAGCAATATTTACTGCCATCCATGACCCCACGGATTACGAATCGCGTATTGTATTTACATAGCAGCGAGTTATTGTGTTTTGATAGCAGCGAATTGCGTTAAAAGGATTGGTAAACGAAGAAAACGATTTACACTGTGCAAAATCGCGGCCAAATTCTCCGTCAATGCATCAACGGACGTTGCGACTTTCCTCGCCTCCATTTCCAACTCGTTCAATATGTTATGATCGAGAAGTGGCAGCTGAGGCGTCAGGGCCTGTCTGTACAGGCAAGGAGTGGAGCTACGGGAACCAGGGAAAGACGGGGTCTCCCCTTTCTTTGTCACCGGACTCGAAAGTTTAATTTTGTTCTCTAGATCTTCAGCGACGAATAACACCATGTCCCCGTCTTGCATCACGGTTCCCTCGAGTTGCAAATAACCGATAGCTTTGTGATAACTCGGAGGATCGATGTCCTCATCTTCGACCGGACTATCTCCTCTGTTTTGTAAATTTAATTGATCGGGCCTGCCGCCAACTGCGTTCATCTTCTCCAAGCTGTCCTCCAGAAATTTCGTACCGTCGATATCCGGTGAATCGATAAGCGATCGTAGCTCCGAAATCGGCGGTGACGATTGCGAGTCGAATGATATTTCGGAGTAAGATGCTGTCATCTCGTGCAGCTGAAATCAGCGAAGTAGTCAATGCTCTTAGTATAAATCACCGGTGATTAGAAAGAACTAAACTTTGTACATGAAGGTAAATAAACATAGATTTCTGAACACAACCTATTAACTCTAACCTTACTCTATCTTCATCGTAGTCGATAGCGGTGGTCTTTTCACTACGTGTTGTTCCTGGTTTTGTATGTATTTCGCTCTCTTCCGGTTCCATGCTTACTGAACGATTCCAGTGCTTTCCTCTCTAGTCGGGTCACAAAACAACCGTCTGGTTTCACTGATGATTTAAATCACGGAATGACAACCTTTGACAACTATCGATCCCTTGTCAAAAGTGACGTACCATTGTCCATGAACAAACGAGTACATTGAGTCGACGAGTACATATCTTTTCGTCCAACTTTATGCTGCTGCTACGTGCGAACTAACTCCCTAGATCCACAGACGAGCTTTTATCGTGTTTAAGAACTCGTGCGAATCGAAAGATAATGTTAATTGGCCAAACGAGATGTACGTGCAGGAAGGGAGACTGTATGCATTTTCTCCCTCTCACCTGTGCTAAAATAAAAGATATACAAAATAATGAAGGGGATTGCACGAGTTGCCAACATGTAACATCAAGCGAGCTGTTATCGAGACTCTACTGTATTTTGATCACCAATGAATTACCATCCATCGAAAAATTTATTAAAATCTCTAGATTTAGTGTCATTCACCCTACTCCACCCTAATCCATGTTTATAATCCATCCGCCGATTTTGGCCGATGAATAGAATGAAGTGGAAACTATCATAGAATGTGGTAAAAGATGAACACAAATGTCTTGCTTTTAATTCCTAAGTTTAAATACCAACGTCCTTCCTGATGTTAAACATAGAATTGTATGTATTTTACAGTTGAAATGGTATTCACAGTGTACTGAATTGGTTAAGTGTACATACCTCCTGTCTAAAGCATGTCGCATTTAAACCTATCGTTATTTTTCATAGTATTTAGTATTATTAAAATTGTGTCTCCCTACAATGATTTTTTTGACGAGGAATTAATGTTAAAACCATTGTCAAGCAATCATGTTTATGCATACTTTCAATTTACCACTTTGTGGGAAGCACCAAAAGAAGCAAAAACACGTAAGTCGAAGTACATAAGGGTGTTTTATGAATAAAAAAATACTTTCCTCGTAATGGTACTTTATTTAAAACATTCATGTTTCAGTACAACATTCCCACTTATTTCCAAGAGGACTCGGAGAAATTATAAGCCGCCACAGTGTAGATGAATTACATCTGACTTTAACCAAAGGCTTGTGGAATTACCAAAAGTGGGGCTATCCTTATCACGATGCTGGTCCTGGTGCAGAAATAACCACATGGTTTAACAAAGATGTTGTCAAGTAAGATATCTATGAAAACCGTATAATAAATCATTTCCAGAATTAAGTTATTCCGTACATTTGCAGTGTTGACAATGAGTGGAAAGGCTTGACAAATGCTTTAGCTGGACTATTCTGTGCTTCCTTGAATTTTGTTAATCCCTCGAACAGTATGTCTCCTAAGTTCACATTTCGCCCTACAGGTGTTATAGAAAATAATAACATTAACTCTACTTATTTACGATATTCGTCGTTACCAAGAGAAATAGTTTGTACAGAAAATTTAACACCATTCAAAAAATTATTACCGTGTGATTCTAAGGTATATAGATGAGATATGTATGTGCTTAATTTTAGGTCAGACAAAACATATTCATATATTACTCTTTTTTCATAGAAAGGTTTGGCAACATTGTTGAATTCTGCGTATATTCATAACACAAACTATCATTCCATTGGAGTACACTTTCGTGTAATATGTTCGAATACAAAATGCACAAAAACGTCACTGGAATTACGACAATCTGTGTCGCTAATATATGATACTATGGTAGACGCATCCCAGGTAATTTGTTAAAGTTTTAATAGAGTTCAAGACATTCGTTATTTTCATGTAATCTCGTAGGATTGGTCGGTTAGAAAATTTTTTGGAATGGGAATTAAAGGAGCATGTCCCCTTGCCACGCTGAGCAATGTATATGTTGATATATCCAATAACAATACAAATCAAGTTTACCGATTAACACCGCCACCGAGTGCTAATATCACTAGTCTTCGCGGAGGACAAGTAAATAAAATAGCTGTATATGACATTAGATCTCATTCTGCGAAAAGAATGTTTAATATCGGAGTAACGCATAAAGCTGGTACTAAAGTTGGTTTGAATTATCCATCGATTATATATGCAAATAGATATATTATCGGTAAGTAGGAAATGATAAATTAAAAGGGCACGTGGATAGAAGTGCTAAAATAATTTTGGTTGTGCAGGATATGGACAAGAAAGGGGTAGTTTAGTAACAAAGCTTTATAATAATTACTGGCAACCGCTTGATATTGTGCTGTTAGAAAATATTCCATGGTATTTGCCAGTATATTTACATTCTGTTACAATAACATGTGGTGGACGGCAAATTGTTCCGTGTAAGTGATGATCTGTAAGGTATTTCCCATTGGCGACTTTTTTTTTTTGTAATATACTGTAATCGTTCATTCCAGTGGTTCAACGTTATCTGCCAGGCAAAGAACGAAAAAGTCCGTACTACTTAGAAATGATTTTGCGTTTACCACCGCAATCAGTAACCAAGTTCTCCATAGAAATGGATTATTCATTTCTTAAATGGCAAGAATACCCACCGGATGCTAATCACGGATTTTACATGGGTTCAGCGATTATCACAGCGATACTTCCGATCGCAAGGAATTATACTGCACTACCACTTGATGGAAGTACTATAACGTCAAGGTTAAAGATGAATACTTTAATAAAAGGCACCATCTATGATTCGATTATGTTTTAGTAACGATGGTTATTAAATTTTCAGCTTTAATGCTTCAAGAAACGGATACTTGGTACAATTGAGAACGGAATCATTGCTCATCAGTTTGCCCACACCAGATTTCAGTATGCCGTACAATGTAATTTGTTTAGCGTGTACAGTAATCGCTCTTGCGTTCGGACCTCTTCATAACGTCTCCACCAAAAAATTAGTTTTAAAGAAAATCGAAATGGGTTGGAAAGAGAAATTATTCGCTTTCTTAATGGAAAAAATTGTAAGATCTAAGAAGAAAAAACAAGAATAAAAATACGTGATTTATTTGATTTGTTTCTACATATAAATATGTTTTTACTTTTAATGAAACGTTATCATATTAAGACGATAAATGTCGCTCGGAAATACAAAACCTAAATTTTGAACATGACGTCAGTGCAACAAAATGCAGGATCAATCATTAGATTATATAAACAAACAAAAAAAAAACGGTTCGATATTGTTGACTCCTTTTTCTCTTTCTTTTTTCATTTTCCGTAACGTTACATAAAGTATAAAAAAAAGTATCCACAATTCTTTGTGGTGTGACGAAATCAGATTAAATGTATATGAACTAAAAATACCGAGATTTCATTGATTTTGTTACAAATGTTAGTGAGGGATCTTTTCGTGAACAACTTTACAATGCACTGCAAATAATAGAAATTGCGTGTGTTATGTAATTATTAAATGTTTAATAATCGTGTAAAATATAAACAATAAATATTGTAACAAATGTAACGCGCACACGGTAAGTACCATGCACCAACGCTACCCTTGTTTAAGATGTTGTCAGACAACCAGCCACCCGTTTGATCCATTGGACACATGTGAGATGGCAGATGAAAGTTCGCCGAGGAAAATTGCTGTAATAAAGATTCTGTCACGTCATAGGCGATATCGTTCAGTGGATTCCTATTTTCATCTGAAAGTACGGGTACAACTGAATCTTCTTCGTCCGATGAACAAAGGTCGATCACTGTAATCCTGTTTGATGTATTTGTGCAGAAAACTGTTTCTTGCATAGGTTTAACTACAGTTATAGTCGTTTCATCGCAGCGTTCTGCGACATCAGAAACAGATAAATTTCCAACACTTGCCTCGTTACTAAGTATATCGCCATCACTCTCCATCGCGTTTGAATCGTTCTCATCACTTGGAGCTTTGCGTTTCGACGGAACGTTTGGTGTAAGATTTTCTATCGTTTTGGTCAGCGATTCCTCGCAATCGGCCGATGACTCTTGATCGGAACACCCGTCTTTTAATGGATCTCGTTTGAGACTGTTTATGTGTTCTTCGGTCAACCGTGTCAGAAAAACGCATACAGGCCGACAAGCAAGGTATAACAATTGTGAATGTATACTCAACACTAAAAGAAAGAAACAACCTTTGTCAGAGTGCTACCACATTCCAAGTTCTTGACTCACACGTTTCGGCAACGTTATCAAAAGAAGAAAACGTTTAAGAATCGAGTACTCACTTGGCTTTCTCTTAACAGAGTTTACAAATTTGTATTGGTGCACATAGTCTACAGTTTTTTCTTTGTTCGGTTTGTATGTAACAATCCATCTGTCATGATGAAACTCTGCTTCTAACCATTTAGGTCTACACGAACTAGTCAAAACAGGAGCAACAAGATGCCTTTCTATCCTTTCCAGTCTTTCTTGCTGGGTTTCTTCTGTCATAGCTTTTGATCGTTTAGCCAACATAATTCCAGCAGGAGATGAAAACGGAATACTTGCACACCTTGCGAAGCTAATAGAACCACGAACACGACGCGAACTTCGTTCACGGACATTACTGTTAACTTTGACATCCTTGTTCGTTTTAATTGATTCTGAATTGGCTGTCGATGAATTTAACTTAAAATATTCCAAGAACTGGTCTTGTCTTAATTCAGGTTCTGGTATTGGTGCGTCTGGTGTTGTGGGCCGTGAATTACGTCTGGTTTGTTCCTGTTCGCAGCACACACGCTCATGATCCTACAGAATTAGATAGTATAACATTTAGCTTTATTCGATCTCCTTAGCATAATGCATTTAGTACCTTCATTTTTTCTAGGCCTATAAATTCAGCATCGCAATTGTCGCATAAATAAATGTCTTCTACTGGTGGCTCCACCATTAAAATGGAATGCTGTTGTTGTTGCTGCTGTTTTAATTTATTGGGGTAACATGAAGCAACTCCGCTGCATGAGAGGAGTTTCTTTCGTGGGCTCTCCTGTCTTTTGTCATAATTCTGTGGATGAAAACAAGTATCTTTAGATTCATTTGCAAAACCACAAGTAGCAAAGTGCAGTTTAATTATAAATACCGACCATATTCTCGTTACGAAATGTGACTAATAATTTTCCAGTAGATTTATGAAAAAGACTTGTTGTAGAGTCCCAATTATTAACATATTCTAAGTCTTCGTGTGGATATCGTGCAAGATAGGAGCAAAAACGTAATAAATATTCGCTTCTGTGATACGTGTAACATCTGAACACCAACTTCTTCAAATTAGCCACCCAGTTCTAAAATGCGACAAAGATTTTAAGTCAGATCATTAACAGCTGCTCGTTTGAATACCTATACCATAATTCCTCTTATTAACTTACATCGTTGACACTTTTAGGTCTTCTCAGAGGATTTGAGAATTTTACTTCTTTTGGCCACCATCTTGGTTCAGTGATCATATCGGTAGTATCATGTCCTAGTGAACACTGAACCATGAATGCTATAAAGCGTTCCAATTGTGCCTAAAATTAAACAATATTATTATTCCTGTTTTCTTATTTGACTGTCCAAAATCTCTAATCACAAGTATTTCTAAAATGTATGAAATATAAAAAATCTCATTCATACTAATGTAATTTTTTCTAACGATGTTGGGTGTCCATTCGCAAACAATAACGGAAGATTGGATACTACAGATCCTTCTTCTAACACATTATTTTCTTTTGACTCCATAGTATCTGGAGTAGCCATTATGGTTTCGCTTGTCACAAGTAACGATTTCTGAGGTAAGCCTACCCCGTACTCTTGTTCTTGCAATGTTGAGAATCTCATATTTTTAAGGCTATTCACATCATTTGTGTCTGTCCTAAGTTTGGGATACAGGATGCCCGGCACTAGTTCTTGCTTGTTCTGTTCTTATTCTGCATAAAAATATTCCTACAAACAATACCAACTTTATATAGTTTTTAATTTATTACAAATTATAACATAAAATCAAAGTAGCAATAAATCTATTACATAAAGTCACCTATGGGGAAAATTATAAAAATGAACCTTGAAAGTAAAAAATAATTTTCTGAATTATTTTACTATTTATTTTATCAGCAAATATTACAGATCAATCGATACGAAACAATATACGCAACTGATAAAAAAATATAAACATACAATTGAAAAAAATCGTTATGTAAATTAACGATCGTTTAGTTTACGTTCTTGCAATATATGGATTAAACGTTTATAGAAGTGACACAAGATTCATATAGAATATACCTAACAGAGGGACAACAAGTAATTTTACGAGAACGCTTATGTACAGTTGACCATCATATAAGTACCTGTTTAGTAGCTTTTCAGACGGTCGAACGACCTTTCTTGTTCTCTATTTTCAGTCGCTTCACTCGTTCAAAAAGCAACTTTTTTTCTCCGATATGCACAAAATATAGAATGCATAGCTACTACAGTAGACAATTCATCGAAATACTTGAAATAATAGATTTATAACAATGGAATAGTAGCTCATACTTCTTTCGTAACAATTATGAACTGCAGAGGGTTGTAATGGACAGAGAAATTCGTACATGCAACCTACGTGCGTCCTTCTATAAAAGTCAATTCACAAAGTCGGGATACGGGTATGTTGTAAAAGGTATAACAACAAAAGTTCGATTGGAGTCCTACTCCATGTTTCGATGGATCGAAGTTTAAAAGTAGAAAAACACGCGTAATATGAATCGAACGTATGTAAGTATGTGTACATGCACTGACAGTTCCCTCCTTAAACAGAAGGTCTGGCAATGATCGCGCACGGTTATATTTCAAGATGGCGGTACGAATCGGTTCAACTCCCGCTCGCTTTCGATCGCTTCCAAGCTAGTACCATACCTTTGACGCAGCAGCATTTTCTTATTATTATTTTCAACTACTATACTGTTACTCCCACCCTCTTTGCACTAATCCTAGCGCTTTCGCGCGCAACATTTGCTTTGTTTCGGAAAAAAAACACCTCAGCAGCAACCATACAGTTCAAAAGGTTTCAAAGTCGTAGAAATTCTTTATTCTTTAACAGTTCTTTACCACTTCTAGCCAATTCCAAGTACTCGCCGTTGCGCCTGCGCAATCTTTGTTAAAATATTTTTTCTTGTACCATTACTTTAACAACATGTCTGCTTTTATCACAACAGTCAAGAAAATGAAAAGAATAGAATTAGTTATTATTTCGTATTCGATAAAAATTAAATCTAATCGTTAATATATATACAATGCACATATATTTAACATATATTTCTCGTCTTTCCCGCCTGTAATAGTGCAATGGAGGACATTTCGTCCTTTGTGTTTACTTGATATGACCATTCCGAGAATCATTTCCATGACATGAAATATACAATAAAGAAATAAAATGTGTAATATAAAGATTGTAATAAAGTTTAATCGAAGTTATCTGTTATTATTAATGCAATAAATCGTGTAGCTCAGGAAATATAAATTAGAACTCTATTTAATTTTTACTTTCATGAATTTATGTTTAGTGTTTGTTTATGTTAAAGTACACTGGTGACCCACGTAATGGATATCTCATTGTTCCATTTTGTGTTGCACGAGAGTATATCTACTCGTAATATAAGTCTGAGCAGAAAGTCTTTTCTTCAGTATTCAAAACAAAACACCTTACCACATCTCGATTTCTTTAATTTCACTCAATTTCTTTTCTTTTTAATTAATAGCGCGGTAATTAAGCACAATTTGAAAACATCGAGTTTAAGTGCGAAATACGTCGGTTATCCTTATCAGTGAATACTTCAATACAGTGCTACGACCCTGAAAAAGTCACAGTTTTATCGCAATGAAGTTTATTTTCAACGTGAATAGACATTAGAAGTGTAAGTTTCCATAAATAGCCATATTTAGTGAACATGTAGCGATAAATTAAGTTCCCGTTTTTGTTGTAATGGCGTTGTAGTCGCTGCTGCTTCGTGACTTATTTATCCCTGTCGGTGAAGTCTCTTTGTATAATTTTTATACCTGTGCAATCTCGTACATGTGCTTCCGTGCTGCACGCGGTTAGAAATCGCGTTCGAGAATAAAAATCAAAGAAATTGGTTTCCCGTGTCCTATCGACCGTGACGTTTTAATAAAGTGATAATTTACAGAGGACACTCCACAATGTCTATCTACAATTTCAAGAAAATAGCGGTTGTCCCCACCGCAAAGGTTAGTTGATCCACTATAGATTTTGTATTTATAATCAATATGTTTGGAAACTGACGTTTTATTTGCTTTGTTAGGATTTCATCGACATAATATTATCAAAAACACAACGTAAAACTCCAACAGTCATTCACAAGAATTATAAAATTGCAAGGATACGCTCTTTCTATACGCGCAAAGTGAAGTTTACACAGCAAAATTTTCACGACAGACTGTCCCAAATAATACAAGAATTTCCAAAGCTTGACGATGTCCATCCATTTTATGCCGATCTAATGAACGTTTTGTACGATAAAGATCATTACAAATTAGCCCTTGGTCAGATAAACACAGCAAGACATTTGATTGACAAGTGAGTATATCGAGCTACTATTTCAAATTTTACCTTTTACATCTCAAATCGGAGATGTAAATCTTTTATATCTTGTCTTGTTTTATAGTGTGGCAAAGGATTACGTGCGGTTAATGAAATATGGAGATTCTCTGTATCGGTGTAAGCAACTTAAAAAGGCTGCATTGGGCCGTATGGCCACCATTATGAAGAGGCAGGGAGCAAATTTAGCATATTTGGAACAAGTTCGTCAGCATTTAGCCCGTTTGCCTAGTATAGATCCTTACACACGCACTATTATAATCTGTGGCTTTCCAAACGTTGGTAAAAGCAGTTTCATAAACAAGGTGATTTTATTTTTTTCTTATCAAATACTGATACATTTCTTTTAAGAAGGATGGATAATTACCTTTGTTTTGTAGATTACACGTGCTGATGTTGAAGTACAGCCATATGCATTTACAACAAAATCGCTATATGTTGGTCACACAGATTATAAATACTTAAGGTGGCAGGTAATCGACACGCCCGGAGTTTTAGATCATGCGTTAGAGGACCGAAATGTCATCGAAATGCAAGCAATAACAGCATTAGCACATTTGCGAGCAGCTGTACTTTATTTCTGCGACATATCGGAGCAATGTGGCCATACGTTAGAAGAGCAAGTAAGTCGATTGATTGGGTTCATTGTGTCTTAATATAATTTTTAACATTTTTATAAAATACGTGGAATTCTTCTAGGTTAAATTATTTGAATCTATTAAACCTCTATTTGCCAACAAGCCTTTGACAGTTGTCGTAAATAAAGTGGACGTTTTACGTTTGGAAGAACTTTCGCTGGAAAGGCAAACACTCCTAAAGTCATTGGAAGATAAGGAGATACCTGTATTAGAAATGAGTACGATGACAGATTTCGGAGTAATGGACGTTAAAATACAGGCTTGCGAACGTCTGTTGGCATATCGCGTTGATCAAAAGATACGAACGAAGAAGGTATTAAAACATTTAAATTACGTGAATTTTCTATAACCTTTAACAAGTATGCATCTTTGATCAGTATATATTTTGAACCATAGGTGGAAGGACTGCTTAATCGTTTACACGTCGCGCTACCACAACCAAGGGACGATAAAGTTCGTGCACCTTGTATACCAGACAGTGTATTGAAGAAGAGGCAAGTGGTTGCCGAGCAGGTAAACAAACGCAAACTGGAGCGCGAAATAGAAGAAGAAATGGGAGACGATTATGTGCTTGACTTGAAGAAGAATTACGACATCGAAGGAGATCAGAAATATGATATTATTCCCGAAATCTGGGAGGGACATAATATCGCCGATTACATTGATCCGGATATATTCGAGGTATTTTTTAAATTTGATACTTTTTCGTATATTTTCAATTGAACTTTGTTACACTTACATACGTGCCAAACTTATCTTCAGTCGCTAACTTTAATCTTTCATTATTGAAGAAATTGAATGAACTCGAGAGGGATGAACAGCTTCGGGAGGAAGCAGGCATGTACGACTACAAGGTACCTGAGTTGTCCGATACAATGAAGGAGATCGTGCAGTTGGCTAAGCAAATTCGAGAGACGAAAGCAATTATGAAAGATGAGGCGAAAATTCAAAAAGCTTCAACAAAACCTGTGATGCCGCGTACAACCATGGCCAGAGGACGAGATAGATCAGTAGGGAAGCTGAAGGAGCAAATGGAAGATCTGGGTATCGACATGGAAGGGACCGAAGATGTGAGTGGTGCATTAAAAAACTTTTCTAAAACATAATGGTTGAATCATGTTCAAGCTAGTGTGACATCTGACCTTTTGTTCTGTCTTTGTAATAGGCACACTTTACTAAAACGAGAGGACGCTCGAGATCGTTGTCGCAACCAGCTAGGAAACGTATGCGTTTGGAATCGGTTTCCCAGTCCCGAGCTCGAAGCAGCTCGAGACCAGCCCGTGACGAGATGGGCGTTAAAGATGTTGCAATGAAAACGAAACTGAAGAACATCGCGCATAAAGCTTTGAAGAAGAAGATTGCGAAGAAGGGTTTGAAGGGAGAAGGGGATCGATTCATCGGCACGAAGATGCCGAGACATTTGTTCTCAGGGAAGAGAGGCGTCGGCAAGACGGACAGAAGATAATGATATTTACTTTTTGCTATTTCATTCTAGCAGATTATCATTGAGGTTTCTCGCCGGGACTGTCGTTTCTCGTCTGTCCCGCGAATGAATTGAAGTTTGCTTTATATATCTGTTACCACACAATTCAAGACGTGATCAGTCCGGAATTTAAAAAAAAAAAAAAAAGAAAAAACGTGCAAGATACTGCAACAATATGAATGAATTGTCTTACATTGCATAACTCGGTCGCCAGAGTGACCTTCGGCCTCGAACGGGGTGAGCAACATCGCACGTTCAGCGAAACTTTATTGCTGTCGCGTGGTGATAACCCCTTAACTATAATATACAAGAGTCCGCCTTGTTCATAGACTTGTATTCCTTACCATGTAACCACCGATGATATCGATGCTCGTTGCGTGGCGCTGTGTTGGGCAATGTCCACTGTCCTCTATCGTTGGTTCATGAAAAACCGTGGAGAAATATTCGAGTATCGTGTACGAAACGGAATTGCATTTCGAGAGGAATGAATGGGAGGGTCGCTTGCTATATATTCTATAAACTCGTGTTGTCGAAATATTAGTTACCGCACTGTTATATAAATAACGAATAAATTTTTATTTTGCCGTTTACATCATTGATGGTCGATTAGAAAATACAAGTAACGTGAAGTGTTACGATGCCCATTTGTGCGTAATCGGAAGTAGCTTCGCGAACGATACAGGTCTGATGTAGTAATCGCATCGGTGGTTTCTATCAACGAAATTTCGATTACACGAATTTGTGACTTGCTTATGTTGTTTCTAACGCCTCGCGAAATGCAGGAGGAATAAAACGTCTCTCTAAACCGTTCCTCTTGTCGACTCCAAACGACACGATAGATGGCGCGATGTGATGGGACACACGAAAACGTTCGAAGACGCTTTTATTTTCGTCGTGTTCTCGGTACGCTATTAACCGCGTGAATCGCGAATGATAAATTTCGATCGATCGATACGACTTGTTTTACGGTGATACTCTGCAAAAGAAGGAAGAAAAGATACACAAAAGGAGCACACGATCTCGAAGGGAGATGTACGCTCTGTAACTCTATTAGGAACTAACGAAACCTCGGGGCAGAAGAAAACTCTACGAAGCACTGATTTCGTATGTAAATAGATCGAATCTATCTTCTGCATTTAATACTCGACTCGCGATACGCGCAGGAATCCCATATGTATATTTGGACCCCAGAACCAGAGTGTATTAAGTAACTTAAAAAAAAAAAATGACATTTTATATCTGAATTCTTTCCGATGGTAAAAATTATTTCGTTCTAAGTCCTTTAGTTTTTAATATAATAATATAAAAATAATATTAAGTTCGTATCTTATTCCGAGCTAAACAGTCTAAAGTCCATCACATAGAGGGGACTTAATGCAATGTTTACCACTTCTACGTATCGAGATTCGTCTTAAATCCATTCAATAGTTCGAAGGTAGCAATTATTTCCCGTTGGAACCTTACCGAACGATTCCAAAGTTACATGATTTCGGCAACTTTGATTTACTCTCCCCTAAAGTTTGAAAAGTGTGACTTAATACACTCTGGCTTTGGGGACCAGATATACATATATATATATATATATACACACATATACATAATCTAACCCCAAACGTATCGAAATAAATTAAAAGAGAAATGTTTGACGGGCCGCGATGAGATAGCAGTAATCATTTTGTGCGCGCGATTAGATCCGTTTGGTTAAGAATACCGAGCACAGTCGAGTCGGTAACATTAGGCGGCGTCCTGTAAATAGACGTTATCGACTGTTCTCTAATGAGAATCTCGCCGCGGCTTTTGTCGGTGGATCCCGTAAGTTGTTTCTCGCGTACGACGATTCCGTCTAACCAGGTCGCGTTTACATATATATATTAATATATACAAGGGTAATTAAAAAAAAAAAAGAAAACATTTAACGATACGAAACACAATTATTTATGAGTAATAATGTCAAGCAGATATCTTAGTATCACAGTCAATGTAAGACCCACGACTACGGGGTCTAGGCCTTCGGTGATGCCTGGGATCGATTTCGTCGTCTTTCATCGTTATACAAACGAATCTCCGTTAGCTTCGATGCTTCGTCTTTCTACGATCCTGAACGTGTTTTCCACACCTCAGGGTCCGACCCTCTTCACGGGATGGAGGGTCCGTAAAAATGATCTGAATTCAAATACAAACTCCCCGTAAGTGATCAGTGTTTTTACAGTCGCCCGATTAAAGAGGTTAATTTCGCTACATTTCATTCGTCAATTACAGAGAATCGAAGCGTCGAAAGACAAAAACAGAATAGCCGATGCAACGAGCACCGAGTCGCTGTCACCGTGCAAGAAAGGGACGTCGACGTGGCATCACCGAACGCTATTCGGACGATTCTTTGGTGAGTCCTCGGTGACGGTGAGTCGTTTCTCTATCTCGTTCCCCCGTGACCATTTGTTTCTCTCTATTCTCTGTCCCGATTTGTATCTATTCGTTCAAAAACGAAGACGGAAATCCTTCAAGAACAGGCGCACTCGAGCACCTGTATGTCCTTCCAATAGGAGACTTTCAGCTGCGTGGCGTCGTTCTCGTCGAAGTAAACGATCATCAGCTGGTCGAGCTTGCTGGGCGCGCAACACGGTTTCGGCACCTTCTTTCTGTCCTCTTTCCACAGCAGACTCTGCAGCAGAGCGTGATGATTGGCCGGATTGTATCTGGGCGGGCAACGACCCTTGCAGTATCCGGCGTCGAACATTTTCGGGTAGACGATGAACTCGAAACCTTTTAGGTCTTTGAACATCACCGTCAGCTCGTGTCTGCAACACTTTTTGCTCTCGCCTTTGCAGTTCGTTCGACGGCCCTGGTGCAGGAACATCAGTTCCTCGGGAGTGGATCGTTTCGCTCGGCCGTTCGTGGCGGAGGATATCGATTCGGTGAACACGTTCAGAACAGGGGACGAAAAGGTACGTCGTACTGGTCGATCGTCGTTGCGACGGAATTCTAGTTCGAGGCCGAGATTATCGACACCAGGCTCCAGCCACGAGGAAACTGCCACGGTCGAGTCGAATTCGAGCCATCTCGAGTCCCTCGAGTCCCGTACCGCGATCCTCCTTCGTATGAGCAACCGTCTCGCCCCGTACGTCCTTAGGTAGAGCAGAACGTCCACGTCCGAACGTTCACTGTAATGACCGTGGAGCAACAGTCGCAGCGTCGCGTGATCCACCGACGACGTCTCGTACGTCCCAGGAATTTCCACGGGAAAGAACAATCGGTGACGGTACTGTCCTCCTCCTCCTCCAACCTCGCTGCTCGTCTCGTAGATTCGACTCGATCCATTTCCAGGATGCGCTGCAACAAACCACGATTCACTGAACGGAACGTTACGTAAATAAAAACCTTGGAATAACCGATTCTCTCTTTCTCTCGTGGGATTTCTCTATTTATTACCGCGTCCATTGTTATTGTTACTGGTTTTTTTTTAATTGTTGTTACTCATTTACTCGCGGGATTCACGTCTCTCGTTGAAATAGAGGTCGGCAAAAACTAGGGAAATATAGGTTAGAAATAGTCCACTTTTCCGGGAAAAGATTTTTTTTCTCGATTCCTCGTTTGACGAGATCAGGGGCGTTTGTAAAGCCTGGGATTATATGTGCCGGTGATTAGGAAAGTGGTGTATAAGTCGTGTATTTTTAGTTTCGAATATTCTTTCGTAATAGTAACATTATAACTCGATGTACCGTAGAATAACAGAACTCGAACTTTTTCTGACTTACACCACTTCCACAATCATCTGCATATATTTAAATCCTTTCCGACCGTAAATTCCATTTGAAATCATTAAATCACTTAGCATACATAATTCATGTTAGAAGCCTAAAAATTCAGTGTGGCATCGTATCGTATAGTTTTATGCCGTTAAATGGATACATTCTCAGAAATAATACAATTTAGGAATTATTTAATGAGTATTCATTTTTGTTTACGAACAATTTTGTATTTTTTCTTCATTTTCCTGTTTTTTCTGACATCCACGAAATAACTACAATGGATTTTCGACATATTGCCACGGCTGGGGCTGTAGGAGAGTAAAATTCTTGGATGCGGCTCTATATCGAGAGCCCCCTCCATTCTGCCGTCGTAGCCCGAGCGTCTGCCTAATTTGTGTGCATGATAGTTAGACCGAGGAAGTTTATGCAAATTCGTAATTTCAAATACTAATATCTAAAAATTGAAATGCGACAGAATTTTGGTTTTTGCACCAAAGACTTCACTACGTCTTAGTATCGTCAAAGCTTTTTTTGCATTTTCCAAGTTAAAGGATATTGTAAATGCACATAATCGTATACACATGTGGAGGGAAAGGTCCTCGTGTGGCAATATATCAAGAGTCCACTGTATATGCAAACAAGTATTATTTTTTGTTTGAAAGAAATAATTCGGGTTGGAAAAGGGTTAATGTTCCGAAGACAAAGTGTAAAATCAGTTGAACCAAATAAATACGGCCAACGGCCACCTAAAATTCTACGAACAAATCATCGTCAACAAAAGCGATCAAGCATAAAGACCGGGGTAATAATCGTAACTCCGTTTATCGACGACGGTGCACCGACCGTCCGCAAGAATGCACGTTGGATTCTGTTAATTACACCGTTGTAATTCACACGGTACGGTGGCTGCAAATGGCACGTATTCCACGCATTGTATACACACGTAGTACATACTAGGTGTGGTCGGACAAACGCGTCACGAAGTGCGTTTTCCCGTGAGTTTGCTGGATTCACGCAAGCTCCTTTACGGTTCTATTATTAATCCCTGTTATTTTATTGCGCATACCCCGAAAGAAGGGGGGGCTATTGACCCCAAAAGCTCGATCAGAATTTCTGCAACGGCCCTACCGACCGTTGACTCCCCCCCCCCCCCCCAGTCGGTAAGGTCGTAGTTTTTCAGTGCGTTTTTTTTTTCGTCGATGTTCGACGAGAAGGAGCGGACAACACGTTACATATCCGGTAGAGGCGCAACGGCAACGACCACTCTCCGCGTCCGTTCCATTTACATCGGGCCAATTAGAGGAATCATCAAAACACCGAGGGGGTAATTCGTTAATAAACGTGCTGCACGCGCGTCACCGTGCCTCGTTACACTGGCAAACGGTGAAACGCATCCACACACGCGTACGGATGAACCGATACCGTAAAGGTATCGATACTTTTACTCATAACTAGGGATGAATCGATACAAGTAAATACGAGTACATTACTCGATACTTTTGTTTCGATACCGAGTAAGTATTGATACCTTCATACAATACTAACAATGAGTAAAAGTATCGATACCTAAAATCGATACTAAAGATACTCGGTATCGAAACGAAAGTATCGATTATTATTTACTTGTATCGATTCATCCCTACATACGCGTCCAATCATCGGATCATCGTCGTCAAGAGAGACAGAGAGAAACGAGTTCGTTGGGGATTTCACGAAGTGTAATCGTGTTCGTTTTACGTCAGGACCCAGCACACAGGTAGTTCGCACGGAAACGAGCCGACACATTCCAGGATGGTTCCAGGAATTCAAACGCGAGTCGCGCGTAAGCGGCTATTTACGACCGCGATACACCATCCCCCCTCTCCCTCGACATTGTTTGCGCTTGGGCGGTTGTGCAGGCTCGAAAAAGGAACTATCTATTAGGTCATCCCGTGAGTTCCTGTTGATTTTTCAAGCGACAGTTATTTCCCGTTGGATCCTGGAAGAAATGCAATTTAACCTTCGGAAGCATTGGTGGTGTAAACTGATAAAAGTGACCGGTGGTTGTTATGCGGTTATTTTGTGGTTATTGTGTTGGTAATTATTGGAGGTTAACCCTTGGAGCAGGGACTTAATACCGTTATAATTTTGATACCGGTATTATGCCCAGGGACTAAAACCGATATGATTTTGATACCGGTATTATGCCAGTAAAGGTATACCGAAACCGAAATAAATACCGGTATTTTTTCGGTTTTTCTATTGTATACATGGCAGGGACTTACCGGTATTTTACGTTTCGGTAGAAGTTCCTGCCTTGGAGAACGGTTCCCGTGTCCACTTGTACGGGAGTGTTCAAAACCCGTATGTAACTCATCGATTTGTAAATACTATTTATACTATTTAACCTTTAATTACTCGCATAGGGTAATTATAATTTCGATGTCTTCATAAAATGCGTAATTCGTATCCGTTATCGTAATCTGTCTGTATAGTTTCCTAATTAGATCTTCTTTATGAGATTCTGGTAATGGTTGACACGATGCGACTAAATAGTTACGCAAAGAAGCATATATTAGGTTCGTATAAGACCATATGCGAGTAATATTGTACAAAGCGGGGTGCGAATAAGTACAGTCTAAATCTGATCTTTGCAATAGTATTATTGTAGTTATGATCGGTATGCGAAAGTAGACAGTGAATTTTGAATTCGAAGAGACATGTAAATATACACGTCAGATCCTATTATAATCCTACAATGATACGTTTATAGTTGGATGCCATTTCTTATAATAACGATGTTTAAAATTCCTTCATCGACTAAGAATAATACCGAGTGTCTTAAAGTAGTTCGGAGCTGTCCCGATAAAATATCGCTTCCCATTCACGAGTTCAGCACGTTTCTCTCGTAATACTTTCTTTCACAATTTTATTAATTTGCCTCGATAAATGTCAGAAATATTACTTTCATCGTGCGATCTCATGACAAGGTACCGTATTTCTTGATGATCCTAAGCAAGAAAGTGGACTTTCGACGGGAATTTCTGGGATGACCCAATATGTAGGCTTCGGGTTAAAAACCTATAAAACGAAGTTACTTCTTTCATAACATAATTGGATAATTAGAGTCGTTTGCGAGTCTAAGTGAATTTCATTTTAGCAAGCAACGGGAAAATGTAAACTTATTGAACACAACATAGATAAATTCGTATATTTTTCAGCATTTCTTTAGTGTTCTTAATTCCTTACACTAGGATTTTCAATTAAAAATGTGGAGAAAATTCTCCAACACGTGCCCAGGTAACTACGATGTACCAGTTGCAAAAAAGAATTATTCGATCTTTTTACTATTACTACCCTCCATTTTCAGCATTTCTTTAGTGTTCTTAATTCCTTACACTAAGATTTTCAATTAAAAATGTGGAGAAAATTCTCCAACACGTGCCCAGGTAACTACGATGTATCAGTTGCAAAAAAGAATTATTCGATCTTTTTACTATTACTACCCTCCCCCCCATCGAGATAGAAATGATTTGACCGAACGTTCCTCTTGTAACTACGAGTCGTAAGACGACACCGACGGATTAGCGTTCCGTACCGTATCGACTCTGCTCTCTCTCTCTCGGGTATACCCGTCGTAAAACATCGTGTAACACGACGCCCTCAACGTTACAAACGTTTCTCGTCGTACGGGATAAATCTCTGTCTGGAAATGTAAAAATACGACGGTATAAGCCGTGAAAGTTATCTCCCGATTCTCGTTTCGTCGCGCGATATCCTAACGGTCCCTGGTTTCGAACGTTATCTCGGGCGTCTGCGGTCCGGCTACGGCCCTCGGAGCCGTTAACCCAGGGCCTCTGGTGTAGAAAATAGTTTTCCACAATCCTCCGGTGAAAAACACATTTTACTCGCGTGTGTTCCACTCAGCGAATCGTTTCTCGTCTCCCCCAGACGATAAAAAACGATCCACCCTCTGGGCTAAGGGATGGGGGACAAGAGAAGATCTCCCTTTTTTGACCGATTTCGAAAAGGAGGTATATAATTCGTTGTGTATGTATATGTTTTTTCATCAACGTAATATTATTCAACATCCTCTTCATTAAAAAAAATAGTTTAATACATTAGAAGTGAAGAATTAATTAACCCCTTGCCCTATAATATCGAGTCAGTCTCATGTTGACGTTTTGAAAATCGATTCAACAAAGAAGAATATTATTCGGTTTTTTTATTCAAAGTGAAGAACCACGGTGCTGGTATTAATATTTAACTTTTACAGTAAAAATACAAGTTGCAATAAGTACAGAATTAATTTCGTTTCTGGGAAACTATTGGTAACAATGTAATCCAAATAGGTTGAATAATAAAATTACAGCTCTTTCTTTACCATGCTTTCGTCATCACTTCCTATTTACATAGACGCGTTTTTGACGCTCAAATTGCACTTTCATTTTTCAAAATTACTTTTTAAATGCCAGATACACACAAGTACATGTATTTGTTGTTTTTATGTAAATCAGAATTTAATAATAAAATATTTTGTATGCAATTCTTCATACATAGTTTCGTTTTTATTAACTGAAATAAATAAAGTGGCAGTATTAG